ATATTCTGTATTCTGCACATGATGAAGCTTTACAGAAATTATGAAGTAAATAACCATTATCAAGTCGATATTCTTTCAGTCTGGCTGTTGACCAGTCACTTCGATGCAACAAATATGCGAACATATAAGCTATTTCAAACAAAGGCAAAGTATGAAGGTTTTTATGCCAAGTTTTTACGTTACACGGATCTACCAGAGTTATTGTCGACTCACTGTGTTTTACAGTACGACGACGATTGTTTGACTCTTGGCGAACATTTAACTCGTTTGCTAACACAACAAGTTCAAAAAGTTTAGCTTTACGAACATTGTTGCAAGTTATACCACGATCCTGAAGAAATTTGCAGAGTTCTGGAACTTTTTTGCTTTTCCAATCTATTGATTTACGCATGTACGAATACAGAACTTCAATAAAAACAACCACACTCAAGCTCGTCATCCGGGTATTTTGGATGCGCCCTCTAGCGGAATTCCGTAGAAAACTAACAACTCGAAAATTAGGAATTAAGTAGCCAATTTTCAGCATCATTGCATTTCAATGACAATGTGCAGCCCTAATTAGTTCTGGGTTGAAATTCATGCTAATTAATTTGCATAATAATTTTACATAAATTAGTCAATTTACTGTATCTCAAAGATTACTTATTAATCAGATTTTACATTAAACTTTGGTGTGCTGGAATAAACCACATTTTTATATTATTTTATATCAGTTTTCTGTTGGTATTATAAACTTCAATACTGCAGAACAGATTACATTCATTTTCTGCATTTCAACTATATCAGCTGACATTTTTAATTAATTTTCAAAGTCTATCCCTCTCCCCGCAATGCTCTATATAAAAAGCATTGTGGTTATAATCCCCCAGGCGCTCCTATATTTTTTAGCTTGTGGTTAGAACCTTATTGGTTTGTCCTGGTAGGTTTGCCTTGGTTTTTTCCAAATTATTGTTACAGGAGCTGAAACAATGTGAAGTATACATGGTTTTGTTCATAAACATCTGGGTTTTGTAACTAAGTTGAAATTATGATGAAAAACAAATTCTTTTAGAAGAAAAGAGACAAAGTCTTTCCCAACACTAAAATAGACAACTGTAACTCAGGATTATTCAGATTCCAGCATTAAGTGGAGTCCGTGTTTCTTACATAAATATATAAATGGCAACACAACTTTTTTATGGAATGTACAAAATATAGAAAACGCAGACAAAAATTGCTTTTAAGCGATAACTCCCAAAAAGTAAAAAAAAAACAACAACAAAAGAGCGAAAATTTATTTATCTAATGAGTACAACTGGAGACAGACAGAGTTAGACAGATTAGAGAATATTTAATATATAACATTTTTTTCTATTAGGAGGGAGTGAATTGATATTTTATTGATGTACATTGATAGAAATATTATTTCTGAAGATTCAATAAAACATTATTTTTATTATAGGCTGGTGTAATAGAAGGTGTACTTATCATGGCCTGTGTAGGAGTATTAAGGTAATATTTTTTATTTATTTTTATTTTTAGAATTCATTTTAAATCCTTGTGTGTCAGGCCTTATGCATGACCCGTCTAAATTTTTTGTTTGTTTGTTATTCTTTGTTCTCATAATAATTGTAATTGTTTTTGTGTTTTGTGAACGATATAAGATAAACAAAAAATGCATAACATGGGGGTAATGTGCACCATTATTGCAGAATGACTGTGATCATAGAAATGTTATATTTTCACATTCATGCTGTGATAGGCTTCCATAGCTCTTCATGACATACGATGTAAAGTGATAGGCATTCTTCACCATATTTAGGGGATGTATATTGCTCAATAAATTTATAATTGTGTTCTCATGACCCTGTACCATTGTGTTTGGTTGCGTTCACAGATGACTTCAGGTCACATGACATAGGTCAAAAGATCAAACTACACTTTTTCTATTATACTTTAAATGTTTCAAAATTCAACAAAAATACCAAACCACTCTCCCAACATCCAATTTTCTTCCAACATGCTTTTTTTTTGTTTTCAAGTGATACAGTTACTGTAGAATACTTTATTTTCGCTTGGAATTTATTTTCGCTATTTTCGCTGAAGGGATGATTCCGAGAGAAAAAAATCCTATATTTCACATTCAACCTGTCAGTGAAAATAAATTCCAAGCAAAACGCTCAAAAAGCCTTTTCAGCGAAAATTAATTCCAGCAAAAATAAAGTATTCCACACTACCACGGTATATGCAATAGTTTCATCCATTCATATAACATGCAAGGGTATTAAGATATACATAATATTTCTTTAAGATATTTTTCTTTGCTTACTTATTGTTTTATTTGTTATTGATGTTTGTTACTTGTTGTTGTATGTTTATTGACCATAGATAATGTAATTCAATGCATTATTTCGTGCCAAATAAAATATTCTATACTATACTACAAATAGCTATACGTCCAACCTTCATCTGGTTCAACAACTTAATTCACCAATTACTTGATGATGTTGCCAATTCATGTACATTACTGTAAAATCATTAATTATTCGCTGTCTTGTAATTTCACTATTTAAGCTGATGATGAGTGAATTCTGTGAAATTAAATCCATGTGAACCCATTATTTCATTGGAAAACTCTAAAATTTTAAACACAATGAAAAGTGTGTTCAAAATATCAAAATGGTGAAATTAATTAATACCATTATACTGCTATCCCCATGTACTTTAATTCTAAATACGGGTTAAGCTTTTACAGTAATCTAGTTGTTACAGAGCTAATTTAGGTTTGTTTTACATAGTCAACAATAGCTTTTTCAATACTAACAATGGTAACTTTGTGATTGATACTGACATTGTCTTCTCTTGTTTTGTTTTGTAGTGTCAAATCAATGTTGTTAATCATAGACAGTAAATACAGAATACTTGGTCAGTCACCGCATGGGGAGGCACATCAACAGGAACAGGAAGAATTAATGATGAACTCAGTGGAAATGAATGGTATAATATCTGAAGAAGAAGAAAAAACTCAGACAGATCAAACCAAGGTTTGGATATTGCGTTATGTTTTCATGTAACATCACTGTTTCAGATTACCACGTAATCAAACCTGCTGAAAAATTGAAAAATAGTTAATAGCACCTATTATTATACATCTGTCATAGTAACGCCATAAGTGCATTATTGCACTGGGTATTTTCATCCTACCATATTAGGAAATGCAAATTCATAATACGGCATTTACATGATGTATCCCTAGGAGGAAAAGATATATAATAATAAGATTATTACAAGGATACTGCAAAGTATGCGCTCAGACAGTACGCGGTCGCATCAACCTCCGTCGCATGTTGGTCGATACTCCCGCCATACTGTCTTCGTGCATACTTTGCAGTATCTCATAGTAACTTCCTATTATTCTATTGTACTAGGAGATAAAAACAAACAAATATATACAGTATATACCGGTAGTATGTATATTTCAAGACAAACTTAATTTAAAACTAGCTATTCAAATTTGAAACATCTTGGCAAACCTAAGAATACATGATGACCAATTTAAAATAAATTTAAACAGACATGTGTACTTTTTTTTCAATTTTTCAATCATAGTTTTATTTTTAGTTGAGCTCCAAAACAGTTTTGTGTCAGGACTGTCTGAGTGCCTGCATCTATACTTAACATAACTGAACAATGGATTGAAACGTAGTACATGTAGATACATTCCTTGGATTGCAGTACTGCACTGTGTATGTTGTTTTCCAGTCAGTGCACTGCATGTAGGAAATGAAACCTGCACAATGATTTTTTTTATGTGCATGTAGGAATATTTAGAAACTTCAAATTAATTAAACTAAATATGAATAGATTCTGATTAAAAAAAAACACTCAAACCATAAAGTTGAAATATATGTATCCATGATTGCGTAATCATCTGTTGGAGAGTCAGTTGGTATGTTTGAACCTTATCTTACTGGATATACTTGTTTATAATGTTACTTTGTTTCTTCACAGACATCAGTTCATGAAATAGATTATGGTGAAGTAGGTGAGTGAATTGATACATGTTTGTATATAGACTAAGCACCCTCTACCGTACATATAAACAAATGAGTTGAGTTGGAAAACTTTTTATAGCTAGCTGGTAGTGCATTGTACATAAAAATTTGAACAAATTTTGATGTTTATTTAACATTTTTTGTTCATTCAGCATTACTTCCAAATTACAGATGTTTTGTTCAATGAGAAAAAACAGCAATTATTTTATTTAATTGAATTATGGTGTGTACAACAATGTAATTACCTTATGCTGGGTTGGTAATAATACTTCATAACTAAACAGTGGGAAATTTGGTCACATGACTGTTATGTTTTATATTTATAGGTTATCATGCTATGGGCACACTGGTCACTTATGGTCGATGCAAGTATTATTA